CAAATAATTGAAGCAAAGAAGCCACAGGATGCTCCTGATGTGGACTTATCAAAGTTATTCTTATTCTTCAGTTCCCTCTGAGTACGGACAAGATTGGTCACAGGTCTGGGGTGAGGCTAAGCTTCTGGAGGGGAGTGATGAGGTGGAAGAGAGCTGCAGAGGAGAGGAGCCAATTCTTGCAAGTGCTGTTGGGAGAGTGGCATTTTCTTTTGTGGCAAATGGTCGCACAGTCATTGTGCTCTATGGCCCATCCAGAATCTCTGGCCTGGGGCCTGTGTTAGAGATGTGAGTGTGGGAGAGAAGAGTCTGGAAGGCCCTCTGCCATCCAGAAGACTCTGTGAGAGGCTGCTCCTCGAGACATCCAGGGTGTGCCATGGCTAAGAGATAGATCATCCACCTATGGCCTCATGCTGACTCTCTTGCTGGGCCTGCAGGTTCCTGGAGTGAAGATGGAGTTTGAGGCATTAAAGCGCATACTCGGTTTCACAAGTCATGCCATCCTGTATCCCCCCGATTACACATTACAGACAAAGCAGGGCTTTTAAAAAGAGCTCTTTGCAATAATGGCTACTAATAATGGCTGCTGTTGTTGGAAAGTTTAATCACATGCCAAGGCACTGTCTACGTACCTGAGTGCCACTTACTGATGACCTACTCCATTTAGTCCTCCTAACAACGCTGTGGGGGGGTCCTGTTCTCCTTCCCATTCTGCAGATGAAGAAACAGACCACAGTGGGGGGAGGGGGACACCGGGGGAGGGGGTCAAGTAATTTGTTAAGATCAAATGGCCAGCAAATACAAATAGAGCCAGAATTCCAGCTCAAGTAATTCATTATTTGAGCCTGAGCTTTTAATGAGAAGAAACAAAACATGCTTTGGAGTTGCCATAGGAAAGGAAACACTGCATTTTGACAGAAGTGAAATATGGGCTGTTTGCTCCCTTCCTTGGTGAGCTGACACCTACTTGAAACATTTGTCCCCCTACCGTGGGCAGCATCTGTTTTGGTCCTCCAAGGACACTGATTCACTCTGTGGAGACTCTCTCTGGGAGAGGCCAAAGTTTCTTATAGCTTCTGGGATCACAAAACCCTTTTCAACAAGATCCCTCAGGCCCAGGCCCCTAAAAACTATGTAATAAATTTACCATCAAAACAATCTCACTTGGTCCCTCTGAGACCATTATGCTACAAACAAAGGTAACATGATATTCCAATAAACATTTCTCTTGTGAAGTCATTAAGGTTTTCCCCCTACACTAAAGTGTATTCTTCAAATTTAATATAATTTCATAGTTCCCCTACATCATTCATGGGTATATATCCAACATTCCAGTGTTCTACATCCTGTCATTTGAATAAGAATAATTATTAAAGTTTAGGCTGAGTGTAAAATGCAAAAGCATTTTATTGTTTTTATTATTTAAAAATGTCATAATGAAATATTTTAAAACGTTATAGCAATTATCTTTTCATTGCACAAACCTGCATTGTCAACTATGCCACATTAAAATGTTAAATCACTATTTTCATATCAAATTACACACACACACACACAGACAGACATGGTTAAAATTCATCTTTTGTGCATGTATTTCTCTTCAACATTCTAGTACATGTGCTCTGTGATGGTTGAGAGGCACTGCACTGCACAGGAAACACCACAAATTTTGGAGGTCCCAGGGTTGAAATAGCGGAGGTCTAGGAAATGTGGGTTTCTTTATTATTTTTAAAAATTGATATAATTCGCTGTTTTCTGGTTCCCATACTCAAGCAGGACATCAGTGGGAAGCGAGCAAAACCCTAGCAACTGGCCTTACAAAAATGAAATGGTTCAGGGAAGCCATTCTGGAGGCTGCATGCTTTGGGCATCAACGTTGCGGCCTCTCTAGTCCTGCTGGGCCAGCCGCACTGGGCTCTCACTGCCAGCGGTAACAGTAGAACATTCAGGCAGCTCTTGTTGCCCTAGGACAAGTGCTAATGAGGAAGCAGCAAGGAGATGAGAGATACTACATTCAGGCTCTTGCCTTTCAACGACTTCTGCATGGTTCTCACAATATTATCTATAAAACTAAGCTGCATGTTTGATCACACTGAATATAATCATTACACAGAGGACTTTGACCTGTAACTTTGTCCCGGGAGGTGATTAAAAAACAAAAAAAAAGTACATTTTTAATAGATTTCATGAGGAGCTAATTATATATGACTCTAGTTGCTTATGGGACTCTATCAGACGAGGTCCACACTGGGTCATTAACTCACTTTTGAGCCCTTGAAATCACATGATCTACTTGTCTATGCAGTTTTAAAAAAACAGGCTTGTTATTGTCAAAACTGCAAATTATCTGAATGGTACCAATAGGTTATGGTATAAACCAATTGCACTGCTAATGGGGATTTCTGTCAGAAACTAGCTATCTTATGGGTGGCTAGTAAATACTTGACTACTTGAGTTATACTGGTGTTATTTACATTAATACATCAAATCAGCCTTAAGAGAGGCTATGAGTTAAAAGCGTATAACCTAAAAGAAATTTAAGATTGTCTTATAGTGAAGAAGTGACTCCTTTTACCTCCCCCTCCCCTTCTTCATCCCCCATCACATTAACATTTTTGTTTAGTTCCTAGGTATCCTCGGTTTGATTCCTCAGGAAACAGACAGAAATGAAGATATGTATGCAGGCATTTTTATCAGGGTGTGCTTTGGAAAACAGCACTATTAAGTGGGTAAGGAAAGCAGGATTGGGCAGAAGGAGAAGTTGTACCGTGATGCACTTGCAAGGCCTCAGGCAATCCCACCCGGAGTCTGAATGTGGATGGCCTGTCACAGGTGTCCCCAAATTGAGGCAAGGGACCTAGGACGGGGTACCCTTTATCAGCCAGTCATTGGATATGGGCTACCCTGGGGAAAGAAATGTAACTTTGGGCAAGACAATTCCTTTAACTAAGAGAAGTTCCTGGAGCGGGACTCAGCTATGAGCCATCAACAGGGAACATCCTACTAGCTGACAGAGTAAGTGTGAGTGGAACATCCCTGCGCCCACTGTCCAGGGTAATATCACAAATTCACCATGTGGGAACTAAACTCAGCCTCCTCCTAACAAGTTAAATTTCCTTCTGGCTTTCCTCTCTTTGTTATCAGCTTCACCATTTTCCTTACCCAAGGTAGTAGATAGAAATCTGAAGAGTTCTAAAAATTGCCTTGGGCAATTTTTAACAGTCTGTCACATTTAATTTCCAGCATATTTATCCTTTTAAACAATTTTAAATAATTCACTACAAAGTGAAATCTGGCATAAGTCCTATCTGTCTTTTACTCCCTGAATTACTGAAGAAGCCAAAACAACAGATTTCTAGGCAGTTTCTAGGGCCTAGTTTTGTGACTGGTGATAAAACGAAGGAATGGGGAAGTGGCTGTCTCTTTTTCCTATTTTAGAGAAGAAAGCTTGAGTCCTTGGTTGAGCAAATAAATACTCAACTATTCTCTGGAAGTCCAACTCTGTTTATAAGAATGCAGATGAATGAACTTGAGAAAGAATGCTGTTATTTTATATTTAAAAATTTTAGTGAGCTAAATGTTTCCAGAGATTTAGATTATTTTAAAAAACCTAGCTAGTAATTGTGGTACGACCTCCCCTTCCACTAATATAACTACGCTGTCAAAGTCCTAGCTGCCACTCCAAACCCTGTCCTCGAAGTACTTGCAGGGAAACACAGGGGATATTAAATTATTGTATAATTAAATTAAATTATCACTTTTCAATCCCATCAATAAGGCTAAAATGGCACTTCTGTTATGAATCCTTGCTTGCAAATCCTTTTACTCTGGGATGAGAATTCCTGGCAGAAGCAGTTTTGGCTTAAAGGTGAAGTTGTGGATTAGATGATTATACAAGGGTTCTTGCACCCAGAGGATTCTAAGGACAAAAATTAAAGTGCATTTGTTTTTTAGGATTTATAATCATTGGTTGATGAATAATTTTACTTCCCCAAAACATAGGTCTATATTATATATATTAATGACTTCACAGTCTATATATAAAGCTTTTTGAAATCTTAAAACCACTTTTTTTTGGTTGAATAGTAAGAGGGATATTTTAATGTTAGGAACTTTTAGATTTGCAAAGTATCTACTTCTGAATGAATGGGCCAGAAACCAGTACTAATGGTCTAAAGCAAAATCAGTGGGGGGCACCAGATTTTGTTCTCTCCTCCATACCTATTGCATACCCAGGATTTACAAGATGCCATAATGATGTTCACCATGCAAAGAAAACATGACCTTAGATTTCTAATAATATAAAAAGGAAATCAGAGCAGAAAAACAGTTGAAGCTCAGTTTCCTCTTTAAGTCCATGAGGTTTCTTAAGCAAATCCCATTGGTGCATGGAGGAGACAGTGTTCCTCCAAGAACCAGCCCTAACGTCTCTAGGGCTATAAGGAGCTTCTGCACCTGACACAAGAAGCTCCCCCAAGTACACTTTAGATGTATGTGTTTATGTCTGCACGGGAAAGTGCACATTCTCATTGCAGGAATGCCTTGCCATGATATGCCACAGGAGCGAACCTTACGGATGGTTTCATTTGCCCTCCCCTTTCCCTTCATACTCTCTCTGGGTTCGATCTGGATGACCCAAGTGGCAATGGGTGAATGCATGGTGGCAAGTGTATGGTGGCACCACATTGTGGGCACAGAGGGGCTTGCTGGAAGACATGTGATGATAATAGGCCAACATCCTTGGACCCAACGGTCTTCACTCAGGAATGCTCTGGAGAAACCATCTAAACAAGGGGGCTGTTGAAAGGATGGATTAAAGCAGAAATTCTCAAATGTTAGCCTGAAGGGTGTGTTAAAACACAGATCTCTGAGTCCCTCCCCAGAGTTTCTGATTCAGCACATTTGGGGGGAAGTCTGAAAATTTGCATTTCTAACACATTCCCAGATAATGCTGATGCTGCTGGTTTAGGGAATTGCACATTGAGAAACCATGGTGGAAAGAAAAGAGAGCCCACACCATCTCCTTATGAAGGTCTTCAAATTCATTCAAGTTGCTGGGCCCAGCAGTGAGGATGAGGATGACTACCAGGTAGAGGTGAGTGAATGTCTTCAGGGGAATGATTCCAATGTCCTGAGATGAGCCAACCATCTGAGATGGGAGCCGAGTGTGGAACACATCTGTACAGGGACCTTGGGAAATTAGACAAAGAAATTCTATATGCTCTTCTGATTTTTTTGTAAAAGGTATAGTAAAGTTGTATAGATACACCTCTTCTCATAAATGCAGCTTATTTTGTCTGCACAAAATATTGTTTCTTTGTGGATCATGCATTTTTGGCGAGTTTAGAACCCGATCATTATGCTCCTAGGCCATAGGAGCACACTGTGTGACCTTATTTCCTTAACAAATATCCCTTTGGCACATGACCAAAGCCTAGCCAATCAGAGTTCTTCCTGAGAAATTTGTATGTTTTACTGGTAGGGAAAGTTCTCAATTATTTCTGGTCACAAAGCTAGAAGAATGGGTTCAAGGACTGCTGTGAGCCATATCCTGTGTGCAAGATAATGGAAAAAAGACAAAGCTGAAGAGAAGGAGCAGAAGAGAACCATGTCAGCAATGTTTCTGCTTTTAGTCACAAAGGGCTCCAAGTTATTTGGGTTTGCAACAATTTGTTCAGTTCTGCGTTCTCTAGCAGTAGAGTTCTAACTTCCATTTCTTGCCCATCTCCCTGCCCCACTACATTTGTTTTTGCTGTTTTGTTTTTGCTTAATGTGGATTTAGTTGTGTTTCTGTCCCTTGCAAAGGAAATCATCTTGACTAGTATCCTTCTTATAATCAATCTATCAGGGACAAGGGTGGGAAAAACAAGCAACCAAAGGGTGTTGGTGGTGTGATGCTCATATGTACTGCCAAGCTCTTGGTAGCTGCAAGGAACAGAGAGCATCACTCAGGTCTTCCTATGAAAAGGTGCAAGGACACATATGTGGAGACTGAAAGCCACCAGCAAGCTGAGACAGGTTTAGGAACAGCTACTCCCTGGGTCTCTCTCCTGGCCTCTCCTCAGTACCATCTCTGCTCCTCAGAATGTCTAGTCCATCCTCCATTTACTCCTATCTGATCAATACTTCCCCGATTTTCTAGTCCAAATACTGCTGTTCTTACTGTGCAGAGTCCTTTGTTCCCAGCCACTTGTGGTCACTCTTTGGATGAGGTACCACCTCTAGTCCTATCAGGGTTCCCCCTGGACAACAATAACAAGAGCTGGGGAATCTGGGATGAGGCAGACACGCCATTGTGTTCAATGTAAGATGTGTTCCAGAATACCAGGAATGAAAATTCATAGTATGAAACATCAAACAAGTATTCAATAAAAACATTTGCTCCAGAAATCTGAAAGTGCATCAGGGACGTAGAGGAGATGCAGGTTAAGGACCTGCTGTAGTAGTTACCTAGAAAGTCAGGGCGACCAGGTGAATACTTTTCGTCTCGGAAGCTTGAGGCTTCTCACAGCCCCAGCAAAGCCATTGACTGCACACTTGGCTTGACTTCTATGTGACAGGATGGAGGAAACAGTCCCACTAAAAGGGGGTCCTAAGAATTAACCTTGGGCAAGTTTACTAGCTTCTGAAACCTCCCTTTCCTTATCTAAAGATGTGACATTATCTGCTTTCATAGGGTTGTTGTGAAGAGCAAATAAGACAATGCCTGTGAAACTGTTAGCCTAGCTCCAGGCACAGATAAAGTGTTCATTGGATGCTAGTTATCATTGCTATAGCATCATCATCATCATCATCATCATCATCATCATCATTACCACCATCATTTTCATTTGATACTTTCAAGGTGAGTAAATGCAATGTGACTCCAGGGATACATTTGTGAACAAAGCTTATCTCTCTACCTGTTTGCTGATACTAGTCATTTTTCTAGCAAACATCTTTCATTTACAAATGAAATTAAAATCCAAATATATTTAAAAGGTACCACTACATGTCCAAAGTGAACACTACTTTATACAGTTTAGAAGGTTTTTTAAAAAGGAAGAGGGGAGGGAGGGAGGAAGTAAAGGAGGGAGGGATGGCAGGGAGAAAGGAAGGAGAAAAGAAAATCACTTGTCATAGGGCTTTTCCACTTGTAAGATTTTATACTTCATTATAAAAGAGATTCCTATGGTTAAAGAAGGTCTCAGTACAACAAAAACAAACAAAAAAGATACCAAAAAATCATTTCATTCTGTAATACAGAATATCTGGGTATATTTACCTGTGTGAAATCATTCAATTGGTCCAACATGACCCTAGCATCATCAATAGGTCACTTGAAAAAGATAAGAAAAGGTTGGGAGAGTGTGGCTTAAATATAATCTACAATTTTAAAATTTAATTTTACATATCACCATGCTGTTCCATTATATATGCAGAAAATGAAAAATAGTATTCTTTAGCCTTGAAAAAAATTAATCCATGTTTCTTGGCATGGACAACTAATGTTATATTTAAAATATACATATATAATGTGAGACCCATTATCTAATACAAATCATGAAATCTAGCTTGTTCAGTTTGTCACTTATAATAACTGGAAGTTGATCAAAGAAAACTGCTTTCAATTTTAATATATTGTTACCATTTTTATGGATAAAATTTAAAATGTATGATAAAAATCCAATATACAATAATTGAAACATACAGTCTGACCTCGCATTGCTCTGATAAATCTGTTCATTTCTGGCCATTTTCAGTGTTGCTATAGTGAACAGTGTTGACAACTGGATGAAAAAAAGCTTATAAATGGAATTCTGATCATAGATAAAACTGAACATAAACTATCTCCCAGCATTTCTGCATGTTGGGAGGCCCAGTTTGTGCCACAGATGGCCATCTCCCAATAATACATAAAACATTTCTTGCTGGAGCTCGGCACACATTGTTGAACGTACAGGTCATTTGAACAGAACAATAATTCAATTCACTTAATAATGACCTCACTGGGAACAAACACAGACACAGGATGATGCTGTTAGAAGAACAAAATCATACCAGAGTTTTAAAAATGAAATTCTTAAAAAGCTGCCATGCTTTCCTGTCAGAATAGCACTTAAATGTATTCAGTGTTTAGCGACCAGGCAGGCTCACTGAGTTAATTTAGTCTCTTGAATTTTATGGCTGTGTCTTTGTGCCATGTTTCTTCAGTTTTCAGGCTGGTGGCTTTCCTGGGAAGGTGAGTGGTGTCCACTGAACCCTCTTTCAGCTTATTGGCGGAGCTCATTGACGAGGAAGCCTTGAGTTCACTGTTTTTTCCCTCTCTAAGAGCTGAGATGGCAGTCAGTGACGAATGACTGTAGAAAGTTTCAGAAGGACACCTGGGAATCATTTAACCAGACCAATAAAATCAGCTATTTATGTAAGTAACAGTTATTACAACCACAACCATCAAGGCCATATTTTTCTAGAATAATTTTTAGGTTTAGGGCCAATTTTATTTCTAGCTCATAAGGCTTAAAATCCAGGATTCTCTGCATTGGCAGAAATGAATGAACTCAGCTAGGAGAAATCAGAAGCTAGAGTGACCTCTTTTGCATCTAGATGCTTGCTAACTAGATAGTTTCATGTTTTGACACCACTTATACACACCCAGAATTCTTAGCCATGCTGTTCATTTCTATATTTTAAAGCTCAGCACAAGTGCAATTGAATTGAGGCACCTTATTGTCATAGTTTTAACAATGTTCTCTTTTGTCATCCACATTATTGTAAAAGCACACTTAATAAACAGCAGAGGTTTTTATGTTTTTGTTTAATACATTTTATTAACCCTTAGGATCCAAATGATAAACTTGTAGAATAGAGGGGTTAAAAAACAAACAAATCAGAAGTCCTAGCCGGTTTTGCTCATTGGATAGAGCATTGGCCTGTGGACTGAAGGGTCCCAGGTTCGATTCCAGTCAAGGGCACATGCCCGGGTTGTGGGTTCAATCCCAGAGGCAGCTGATCAATGATTTTCTCTCATCATTGATGTTTCAATCTCTCTTTCCCTCTCCCTTCCTTTCTGAACTCAATAAAAATATATTTTAAAAAACCAACAACAAAAAAAAACCTCACAGAAGATAAAGATATAATCTATTCAAAGTATCACATAATTTACATTATTTTAATTGTTGAGAAAAGGGGAAAATTTGTGTAGAAATTTTGTCAACAATTGCCTTATAGTTTAATTACTAGTATTTGATTCGTTATTCTTTTTACCCAGTCCATCTATCCTAGAAGGCTTGAAAAAATGAAATCTACTTTCCTACAGAGTAATGCTTTTATGCTTGGAGAACACATTTCTTTATAGGAACTAACCCATTAGCTTATTTCTGTACCTGCCTCATCAATATCAGCTGGAATGCCCTGTAATAGTGGCAATTTATTAACCTCTGCTGCATAAAAGCAGGAGAAAGAATACTCAGGCTATTTTTCCATGAAAATGGTGGTTAGGGGAAGGGGTGTTTTAGGGATATAGTGATATAGGTGAAAACGGAGAGGGAGTTAAAGAAGCAGAGTATATTTCCCACTACACATATATAAGTTTTAAAGGTTGAAGAAGAACCTATAATCCAAACAAGACATCCCCTTTTCCTTCATCTTCCCCTCCTTCCTTTCACTGATACTTCTCCTAGAAGGCATAGCTTTGCCTCTGAAAGAACTCACTGTCTGGAGGAGAGAAAACACACAAGATAAATGAATAAACATAAAAGGCAGCAGGTAATTTAGGGACATGCCAATATCATAGGAGTTCAAAGACATTGAGATCAGGAAACGCTTCTTGAAGGGATTGCAGGGCTTGTGTGCTGACCCTGGTCCTGTAATATGATAGTAGGTTGTATCTCAATTATCTGTGAAGATGAGGGGACATTTCCCTTCCTCTCACTACCCTTGGATGCTACTTCCTCTTCCCATGTCCCAAGGTGTAGGAGATCCTTCTGCAGCCATGACCACCATTTCAGCGGCAACAGCCCAGCTTCTCAGTTCACCAGGAACCTGAGAGCTGGGCAGGGCTTGCAGAGGCTGAGCTGCAAGGTCCGGGTACCTTCTTCTCCAGGGAAAAGGAGG